GTTGTTGCGTCTTGCTTCTGCTGCTGCTGCTGCTGCTGCTGCTGCTGCTGCATCTTGCTTTCTTTGCTAAGCCTTGCTGCTGCTGCTGCTGCTGCATATTGCTGCTGCTGCTGCATGGTTTAATTGCGGCTACAGCAGCGTGTTGTGTGATGTGTTGCTGCAGTGTCTTCCCTCTGCAGCAGCAGCAAGTACAGCAGCAGCAGCAGCAGGAGCAGCAGCAGCAGCAGCAGCAGCAGCGTTCGTTACTTTGCTCGTAGCCGAGGGGAGTTGCAGCAGATGCATGCAGCAGCAGGAGCAGCAACGTTGCTGCTGTTTGGTTATATAAAGAAGCAAACTGAATTTGGGGTGTATGTATCTCTCGGGTGTCTGCATGCACAGGCTGTCTCTCCCTTTAAGCATGCAGCAGCAGAATTTGTTTTGTCGCAGCAGCACATGGCGCTGCTGCTGCCAGCAGGACTCACGGTCAAGGCTGCTCTGCTGCCGCAGCAGCAGCAGCAGCAGCAGCACCAGCAGCAGCAGCAGCAGCAGCAGCATGTGGTGGAGCTCAGACCCCATAAAATAAATAAACTGCTGCGAGAGCAAACCACAGATGCAGCTATTGCTGCTGTTGCTCTGCGTACACTGCAGGGCATGCTGCAGCAGCGAACAGCAGCAGCAGCAGCAGCAGCAGCAGCAGCAGCAGATGCAGCAGCAGATGCATGCGTCTGCAGCAACGCGCTGCAGTCTGGCCGCCTGCTGCGCTGCTCCTTTTATAAGATGACGGAGAAGGGGGGCTGCTTCAGGGTGGTTGGTTGCTGCTGCAGCAGTGCATGCGTTGCTGTTGCTGTTCCTCCTGCTTTCATGCCTCTCGTGCTGCAGCAGCAGCTGCAGCAGCAGCAGCAGCAGCAGGATGAAGAGGAGCAGCAGCAACAGTTTGATTGTCTTATTGTTGCTGCTGACTGCTGCAGCAGAACAGCATTCGGCTGCTGCAGCGGAGACCTGCTGCAGCCCTTCCTGCTGCTGCGGCAGCTAGCTGCGAAAATACACAAGAGCAGCAGCAGCAGCAGCAGCAGCAGCAGCAGCAGCAAAGTGCTGCGCTGTATTGTTGGCGCTGCTGCGGCAGGGGACAATGACGACGATGCTGCTGAAGAGAAGCAGCAGCAGCAGCAGCAGCAGCAGCAGCAGGAAGTGAGGGTTGTCTTGCAGAAGAAGGGGAAGATGAAGCAGCAGCAGCAGCAGCAGCAGAAGCAGCAGCAGCAGCAGCAGCAGCAGCAAGAGGAAGCAGCTGCTGTTTGGGATTGGAAGACGGATTGCATGCCCCCAGCGTTGCAGCAGCTGCTGCAGCAGCGGCTGCTCACTCAGCAGCAGCAGCAGCAGCAGCAGGAGCAGCAGCAGCAGCAGAGGAGAGGTGTTTTAGCTGCAGATATGGGGTTGCTTGCTGTTGCTGCTGTTGCTGTTGAGAAGGTGCTGTTCTGCTGCAGCAACGGCACTGAGCTGCTGCTGTCTCTTCCTGTCTTCGCGTTGACGCTGTCTCCTATCAGCAACAACGAACAGCAGCAGCAGCAGCAGCAGCAGCAGCAGCAGAAAGGGGAGGAGGGAGAGGAAGATGAAGCAGCAGCAGCAGCAGCAGCAACAGCAGCAGCAGCAGCAGCAGCTCCAAGTGCCTCTGCATCTCTCGTCGGCTGCCAGCTGGATCTGTTGGGCGCTCTCACTTCTGCTGCAGCAGCAACATCAGCAGCAACAGCAGCAGCAGCAGCAGCAGCAGCAGACAAGGCATTGCCGCAGTTGCTGCTGCCGCTTTGCTGCCGCTC